AATTCAGTGCTCATTGAAAAGCACTTTAAACTGTATCACATTCCATTGCCACTACTTGCACTGTTATTTTGAAATATATTCCAGTAAAATGTAGAAATAGACTGAGAGAGCTTGGAAGAGAAAGTGTTTTCTGATAAAGTCACTAAAGGTAATGGCGATACCTGTCTGATCCTGTGGCTGGGCTATTCAGTATTGCCCAGCTTCCTGAACTTATTAAGAGCTGATCTGAAGAAATATTGAGTATTGTGTATCGTGGTGGATGCATTGAAAGGATGTTTATGTAGTCAGTATTGATTGTACAAATGCATTCAGCAGCATGTAGAGAACACTGATGTCTCAGAGACCATATTAACTCTGAGTACTGACTTATGGCAGAGAGGAGAGAGCCTGTTGCCACGGATACCATTCGCTCTCTGTCTCTCTATTGCTCTTTCTCAGATTGCAATGTTGTCTCTCTTGCTCTCTTTCTATGTTCCTCTCACACTCTTTTGCTTCTTTTGCTACACCTACAGGGGTCCCTCACAGTGAGTGTATCTGACATGTAGGTAACCGTGCTGCTTTTCAGAATATTCCTGTCATTTGCAATACTTGGTGGCATGGTCAAAAAGACAAAAGAGGTTCTTAAATTTAAAACTTAAAACTTAAACAAGTAATCTAATCAGGGTGAATCGTACACAGAATCATGTCACAGCACAGTCTCTTAAATCTGCTATTCTAAATGTAAGGTCATTAACAAACAAGTCTTTTGTAATTAGCCAAATTATTGAAAACCATAAGCTGGACATCATCTTCCTGACAGAAACATGGCTTGACAGTAATCATAATTTTGTCCTAAATGAAACATCTCCACCAGGTTTTAGATATGTCAGAGTCCCTAGACTTAATAAGAAGGGTGGTGGGGTTGCCTGCCTGTTCCGCAATACTTTGTGCTGTCAACATTTCTCTGGGAGATTTTGAAACATTTGAATACCTTGCAGTGCATCTGAAGAGTGAACAGTCTGTTATTTTATTAGTTCTATAATCATCCTCCTAGACTCAACAAAGGCTTTCTTGATGATTTTGGAGAACTGCTTTCTAAGATTTTAACTGATTTTGAATATGTCTTAATCACTGGTAACTTTAATATCCATATTGATGTAATTTCTGATCTATCGACTGTTAATTTCACAGAGTTACTAAATTCATTTGGCCTTATTCAGCATGTAACTGGCCCCACACACAAACATGGTCACACACTCAACCTGGTAATCTCATGTGGCCTAACTTTCAGCCACACACAGATTGTTGATGTCGCCATATCTGACCATTATTGTGTCTTATGTGAGATTGCAGTATGTACCAAAACTGTGAGTGATAAGAGAACTGTCAATAAGCGCTATCTCTCTGCTGATTCTTCCACGACCTTCATGGAGCTCGTCATCTCTCCCTCCTCTCACTTCCCCCTCAGTAGACACTTATGAATTTTAGTCTCAGGCTGTCCAAATTTATCGACTCTGTTGCACCTCAACAAAGACTGTCTCTGGGACAATTAAAACCCCTTGGAGAAATAGTAAACCCAATGTAAAATTAAGAAGAGACTCCAGGAGAGCAGAAAGGCAATGGAAGCGCACAAAGCTTACAGTTCACCATGACATCTATAAGACTCATCTGAAAATGTTAAATAATGCAATGAGATCTGCAATAAAAGCGTATTTTTCAAGTTTAATTTAGGGGTGCACCGATCCGATATTCAGTATCGGTATCGCTCCGATACTGGCTTTTTCTGCCGGATCGGGGGTATCGGTCAGACGAGACTGATCCAAATCCGATATTGTGCTTATACTATTCTGTGTTATTGTTAAGCCCCACGAAAGGCACAAAATCATTATAAAGCTCCATAAAGTTTCCTTGGACTATATTTCAAGTGTTCAGAGACAGTTCTATAGGTACAGATGAATATTTAAGTCGTTAAATTCAAGTTCTCATAAACTCTTCTCTCCGCTGTGGCTGTCTGTCATCCCCCATTCAGCATTCAAACTGCATGTCGCTTTGGTTACGACAGTCAAGACGATGAAAATCTATCCAAGATGATTCACTGTTCCTATTATTATACTTGATCTGTAGATAAAGATCAGTGGTTTTGCAAAAAATGACTTTATCTTGCTGCAGTTTAGTGCTGTTTCTAAAGCATGTTAACGTTACTTTCTACCGGGTGTCTGTTAGATCATGGAGTAGAGAGCACTATGAATTGTTCTTCATGCGCACAGTAACTGAAATTTAAAACTGTTTGTTATTGTGAATTGTAAATTTTCTATCCTGTAAAACACTTTGTAAACACTGTTTTAAAAGGTGCTATATAAATAAAGCTTTACTTACTTATAAAAGCTAAAATAATGTATTCGTGCAGGGGCGTATCACACCCCCATTGGACTGTTTGTTGTGGTTTCTCCCTCTTGTGCCCTTATTTGGGCATCATTCACTCATGATTTTTGAGGGGGCACGTGGCGGAGGGGGGCGGGGGGAAGGAGGGAGGGGGTTTAGGGGCCATATCAGTTATACGATAGCAGTATAACTGGTTTAGGCTTATGTTTTATTTTTATTTTTTTTCCTTTTTATTCGAAATATTTCCAAACGTGTAAACTATATCAGGAAATATCTTGATTCTCAAATATGTGTAAGTAAATGCATTTTGCACACTTGATCAATAAATAGTGATGGGCAAAGTAGACTAATAGTGTTATCTATTAACTACACATAAAAACCCAACTTTTTACTTAAGTACCAGATATGGGTGTCATGCCATAACATATTTTTAATACAACTGACTTTCTATTTAATGTGAATTTAATAACAATATTGTAAGTAACTAATTATAACACTTTCATTTTACAGAGAGCAAAGAACATTTACATTAACAAAGTAATTAAAAATATATATATTTCATTCAGTCTAGCCAGAGTTCAGGCACTCTCAAAACTCTCATTAAAATCACTGAAGCTGTTTACACTGTGAAATGAATATTTTACTTACATTCGTACGCACATCTGCACTTCGTTGTTTCTGATGAGAGAATTCACCAGATAATTCAGTTAGCGAGCAAGTGAACAAAACAGCGCATTTCAGCGATGACTCATCTGCACGTCTCTGATTGGGCATTGCATTCATACGCTCAACAGAATCGTGTGTGATTGGTTATAATGCAGCGCTGTACAAACGCGTCTGTCTCTGGTTCAGCGCCAGCGCCAGCCGAACGCAGATTTAATTTTAGCAGCTGATGCTGTGTCGCACTGAAAGATCTAATCACACTGGTGTTATTGTATCAAATATAAAAAATATTATTTGGCTATTTTTTGTCTATTGGAAGCTGAATTCAAGATCCACTTGGCTCAGAAATCTGAGGGGGCACATACCCCCTCACGTTGAATGGGCATGACGCCTCTGTATCCGTGTATTAAGTGACTCCAAATTAACTGTTGAGAAGTAAAATACTCTAACAGCATTTTTAAGGTGAGATGCACCAGCAACAATTTTTTAAAAGAAATACTAAAATTGCAAATTTTAATGGCAAACTAATAAATGGCAAAATTATAGCCAAAATATATCAAAACCATATTGTTGCATAGGGGAGGATGTCAGATTCATTTTAAATTAAGAGCTTTACTGTGGGGAAAAAAGGTCACTTTTTGCATTTAAAAAAAATATTTATTAAAAGTATTAAACACGCACAGAGCATGTGCACAAGATACTTTCTTTTTGAAGATTATACAGCCTATTTAGAACATTGTTACTTTTGAAATGTTCCTCTTTGTATTTATCACATTATTTTATTCTTTCATATAAATAACCTTAACATACACTGTCTATTTTACCAAAACATATGTTGAATTGATTGTTTATGCCAATGCCAACATGTTGACACTAGTATTATGCTACTAGAACAAGAACCCAGCAAAGTCTGGACTTAATTTAATTAACACAAACTGAGGGAAAGAAAGGCACAGTAGAGAGAAAGACTTCCCCAGAGGTCTGTCCTCCAGCTGCCTGTTCTATTTGTACTGAACTCTCTCTATCTTCTCTGTCCTAAGCAGACTTGCAAAGCAGTACATCTTTTATGTACTGTTTTACGTCCCCACACACACTGGCAGAAATTGGCAGGTGCCTACACTCTAAAAAATGCTGGGTTGTTTCAACCCAATGTTGGGTCAAATATGGACTAACCCAACTGTTGGGTTAAATTTTGGTAACATTTTTAAATTAGCTTTTTAACCCAACAGTTGGGTTAGTCCATATTTGACCCAACATTGGGTTGAAACAACCCAGCATTTTTTAGAGTGTACATTGCAAAATCCAACATTTTTCTGTACACATGCAAATCAGTGGCTGACAGTGAACTCACAACCACCAGGGTTCATGAGAACATCTTGTGAACTGCTGCTCTCTTTGTTTGACAGGACAAGGCAATAGTCTTCATGCACTCATTGGCTGTGCGTTTGTGTGTGAGGGAGGGAGAGAGAGAGCTCATCTTTTACACGTGCACACTGAAACACACTCTAGGGGTCCCACCACCATGAAAACTCTGGAAATATTAGGGAATTCTTTTAATTGTTTGAAAATTTCTATAGGGAGTATAGATTTAAAAAAAAAAAATCCATAGTGGTTCAGTTTGTCAGATTTGTGAGCGAATCATTCTTTCGAGTTGTTTCTTTTTAAATGAGTAAGTCAAACAGGTTCCAAAATCTATAGGCTGTTTTGATAATGTACTATAAGACTTAAGAAAATTAGGAACTAGGATTTTAACAATTTAACAGTTTAATTGTTTTTATGGTTTGTATGATTAATGACAAGTTAAAAGTTTTTATGTACTTAAATATGTGCTGTGTTTGTGTTTTTTTAAGTATGTGCTTTTCAAGGTGAGCACAGTAACAGAGTGTGATCTCATGTTAACAACGTACACCAATGACCAAACATCAATCGCACAATCTGCCTTAAGTATGTACTCTTCCTTAACCTTCCTCCTCAACTCCGTTTGAATATATGATCCTGGCAACCATTATCGCCAACTGCATTGTCCTGGCCTTGGAGCAACACCTGCCTGGAGAGGACAAGACACCCATGTCAAAAAGACTTGTGAGAACATGCCTACCCACATAAATATACATAAATCACACATGAAGCATTGCTAAAAGTTGTTTATCCAAATAATTTGTTATAAATGACTAATTTTGGCCTAGTTATCTACTTATAGATGTAGTTCTAGAAATTTGTGTAATTAGAAAACCTACTATTCTGGATTAGTCTAGAGAATACAGTTATCCTCTAAATGTAGCACAAGCCTTCTTTCTTGTGCGGTCATATTCTTTCCTTCTTCGTATTCTTTGTTCTTGACAACTTTATTCAGACTTTATTCAGTAGTTTCCCCCAGTGAATCACTCACCACAAGCTAATTATTCCCATTCAAAGCATTTTTCCCTAATGTTTTATTTCTGTGACATATTTCTGAGAAGTGGTTGTTTAAACAGACAAAAGTAGTGGAAATCTTACCTCACTAAATAAAACCTCAATTAAAACTAAGATCTTAATTATAGATTTGTTGAATAGAACATTCAAAATCTAATGAGCACCCTACCTACATGACATTTTTAGGGCAATTTTGAATTCTAGGTTTTTTTCTCTCTTTTATATAGGTAGTTTCTGTTGTCTCACACCCAATCCATTCTCTTTTTTCAGGAAAAAACAGAGCCCTACTTTATAGGAATGTTTTGTTTTGAAGCCGGAATAAAAATCATTGCCTTGGGATTTGTATTCCACAAGGGCTCGTACCTGAGGAATGGCTGGAACGTCATGGACTTCATTGTCGTCCTAAGTGGGTGAGTGACAAGTGCTACTATCTTCTGAGTGATGCTGGGTTTGCTGATTTTAAACCTTTCCAGATCAGGGTCAGGCATTTTCATTGGTTTTGAATTTTGGTGCATGGTTTTATTCCACCTTTACTTGCAGTTCAGAGTTAGTCAGCTGAAACTTTTGATCGTTTCCCTGTATTTTGCATTGTAGAATAGGAGAGTGTTTCCTTGCGGTCAACATTCTGCATTGGTGAGATGTTGTGCAACATAAGGCTGTAGATTTGCTGAAACACGCTGGACTTTTGCTTCATTTTACTTCATTAAACTCTGCTTGATTGAATCATCTGGGGGGAGTATTAACTTTCAGACTAGACTGAGTGGAGAAATGAACAGCAGCTTGAAAACACTCCATTGGCAAGAACAGATATTGCATTAGCGCTGTCAAAACAGAGTGTCAAAAAGTGCTCTCCTCAAGGGAAAGGCTGCTGCAGCTTTCATTTACAGAGTAAACCACAATTTAGAAGCCTGAAGGGCAGAGGCCATTTTGCTCAGTACCGTTATGTTCTTCATCTGTTTTTCAGAGAGGACAGCTATCTAAAAGAGAAAGAAGGAAGAGAAGGAAAGAAAAAAGCAGACACACACATACACAGTGCAACGTAACGATACATATGAAATATTAATTGCTGTCATGGTGTTAAAGTACAAAGGGAGATGGGAGAATTTTACATGATTTCAACTCGCTTTCATTATTAATGAGCCCTGGATCTTTGTCTGGTTTAAGTGAGGAAGAAAATGTGAGAAAGACTTTAGCCTCTCAACCCCTATTTCTCATGGGCCCGTAAGATGTATACTGACACCTGACATGCACACACAGCAATAACAACACACACAAACACCCATGTATATAAACCTCTGTGCCTGTAAGTCAGGACAAAGTTGGTTATCCACATCATAAAGGGAAGTAATCATCAGAAGCAAGACATAATCATTTTTGAGACAGCATTGGTAGCAGCATTGAGGTCATGTAATCATAAGGTTCAGACTGGCTGAAGTGTAATTAATTTAATGACTGAGAGTCTAAAAACCCTTTAACATGACTCACATCAAGAAATTTCTCAACACAAATGACATACATTGCTTTGACCTCAGCATGTTTCCAGCACAATTCTGGTTTTGCTCCTCAGCTCCAAATTGGTCATAACGTACTGTACCTACACTTCTGTGCAAAATTTTTTTTTTATATAAATCTCTCATGGTCGCCAAGGCTGCATTTATTTAATTGAAAATAGTGGTAATATTGTGAAGTAAAATTACTATTTAAAAGTTTTGAATGTGAAAATGTTGTATATGTTTTAAAATTTACTTCTGTAATGGTAAAGCTGAATTTTCAGCAGCCATTACTCCAGTGTTCAGTGTCACATGATCCTTCTGAAATCATTCTAATATGCTGAATTAATGTGCTCCACACAAAAAAAAGAATTTTGGGTTTCTTTGATGAATAGAACATTCAAAAGAACATGTTTTTTTTGTTTTTTTTTGGTAAAAATGCAAAAAATGTTATTGTCACTTTTGATCAGTTTAATGTATTGTTGCTGAATAAAAGTATTACATTCAAAAAAATATCTTACTGACCCCCAAACTTTTTAACTTTTGTAATGTATATTCTAAATAAAACAATAAATTTTTTTCATTAATTCATTAGGCTGATTCAGACCAAAAAAACTGAGATTGCAGGTTTTTTTTTAATTTTTTATCTTTTTTGATTGATTCACTAAATAAAATTAATTTTTTAATTAACTGGGCTATATGGTCATACAGCATGATGTTTTTGTTAGCAGCTAGTGCAGACAATGGAATAGAAAGACATTTTGTGTAATTATTGTCTTTGTGTTCATTTCTTTTCTGATCACATTCAGACTACAAGCTAAAATGAGATTAAGTAGCGGCATTGCTGAATAGTGGTGCAGGAAACACTGCTTTACTGGTAGAATTACATATAAAAAAGTGATGGTAACACTTAAGATTAGAGCCCGAAATGTACCGCGTAATTAATCAGAATTTACAGCGTTCCTATTTGTAACTATAGAGTACCTCCACAATACCTACTCGTAGGTATAAGGGAACAATATGCAACATTTGGGGAATAAGGGGGTAATAACCTGCAAAATTATAAAGCATTTATACTGAAAGTATTTTATAACTAAAGGGCACCTATTCTGAAATCATGTGGTATGTATGACACACAGACCGCAATTTTCCACGTGAGCATAACTTACAGCTGTACGTACGTGCAGGTAAACGGAAACAATGTGCAACATTTGGGGGATAAGGGGGTAATGACTTGGAAAAATAAAAGTATATATACTGTTAGTTTTTCATAAGTAAGGTGTAACTATTCTAAGATTACGTGGTATGCATGTACTGTGTACAAGTTGCCTTATTGTAATAACACAAAATATATGATGCAGTATATTTTTACACTACGTACTGGGTACTTATTCTATTATTACAACAAACATCTTACATGACATTGATACAAACAGTAAACTGTAGTATACTATAGTATAATTTAGTAAATATAGTAAAGTTAAAAACCACCATAGTCTTTAAAAAAATTACCAAAGTTTACTTAAGAATATATGCTATAGTATTTACTAGTGTTTCTTTATGTGGGATCATGGAGATTACTAAAGTATGGGGAAATTATGTAATGAGTTTCTGCTATGATTTGCTTTAGAAATTTCCATATGAAAATGTACCCGATGAAAGAGCATTGCATATGGTCATCTCAGCAGCGAATCACGTCAGCAGCATTGTACCGTTGAGGTGCAATACAGTGGAAAACTAGATTACCTTCCAGCTCCTCCCAGGATATAACATATAAATGTAACATCATAATACACAACACATGTACATTTACCGAATAATTTATGTTTTTTTGTTTTTGAAAGCTGTAGTGCTGTTGGTGCACTTAAGCTTCGGTATGTGGTTTGAGGAAAGTAGAATAAAATGTACTACAACATTTTCTTAACTACTATGCAAACATACACCCTTTTTATATGTAGTTCCTGTGTAAGTGTAACATCTGTGGGCTGTAATTTAAAGTGATCCCTTGTTACCCTCTTGTTACGTGTAGTTACTGTGTAAGTGTAACATCCGCGGGCTGTAATTTAAAGTGATCCCTTGTTACCCTCTTGTTACATGTAGTCACTGTGTAAGTGTAACATTAAACAATTTTAGTTATGCTACAATAGAAATGTTTCAAAGTTATTAACAATGAACTGTATTACATAGTTAGTTAACAAATAAATATTTATATTATTTAACACAATTTTAACAAATCTTTGAACAGAATGCAGAAAAAACTAATTTGCTGCCACTTATCCAAAATACAAAGAACAGTAAAAAAAAAACACACACACACACACACACAAACAAACAAACAAACTAATCATGTTCTAAATTTATTTTTAATAGGCATACTGTCCATTTTTCCTTTCAGCTGTGGGCAGGCGTCAACGAATTTCTGGAGATCTTTTGCATATACAGGTGCATCTCAATAAATTAGGACGTCGTGGAAAAGTTAATTTATTTCAGTAATTCAACTCAAATTGTCATGTTCTAAATTTATTTTTAATAGGCATACTGTCCATTTTTCCTTTCAGCTGTGGGCAGGCGTCAACGAATTTCTGGAGATCATTTGCATATACAGGTGCATCTCAATAAATTAGAACGTCGTGGAAAAGTTAATTTATTTCAGTAATTCAACTCAAATTGTGACACTCGTGTATTAAATAAATTCAATGCACACAGAATGAAGTAGTTTAAGTCTTTGGTTCTTTTAATTGTGATGATTTTGGCTCACATTTAACAAAAACCCACCAATTCACCATCTCAACAAATTAGAATATGGTGACATGCCAATCAGCTAATCAACTCAAAACACCTGCAAAGGTTTCCTGAGCCTTCAAAATGGTCTCTCAGTTTGGTTCACTAGGCTACACAATCAAGGGGAAGACTGCTGATCTGACAGTTGTCCAGAAGACTATGTCAACAGACGTGTCAAGGAATTTGGCTACAGTTGTCGTATTCCTCTTGTTATGCAAAGTTGTCCCTGCAGTATATGAGGGAGCAGAAAAGTCCTCCACCACTTATGCAGTTTTCACCTGTGATCACAATTACAGAAAAATACATGGCAAAAAAAACTGTTAAAGGGGTGGTTCACTGTTTTTTTTCTAGGCTTGATTGTGTTTATTGGGTGCAGTCTAACATGTGTTAATGCTTTGTTTTTTAAAAAACGCATTATTTTTCACATAATTTACCTTTATTCCACACCGCTCTGTCCCTTCTCTGAGAAACATGCTGATCATTTCCTTCTTTTATGAAGCCCCTCCCTCAGAAATAGGCGATGGGCTCTGATTGGTTAGCTAGCCCAGTGTGTTGTGATTGGCTAAACCGCCTTTAGTGCGTGTCTAAACGTCCCGCCCCTCACATCAGCGGCATGTGCTCCACTGTTTTTAAACTGTGGTTAAAAACTCTTCAGCCCTGTTGCATATTTTGCATTTTTACAGAATTAGGCATACCTGAATTTTTAAAAAGTGCCCGAACCAACAAACATTAGAATAAATTTATAAAAATAGTCTCTATGTACAGAAAACCCTCTAAATTGTAACACATGTTGTTGTTTTATTGCATTAATTCATACGTTTATGACAAAAAAAAAAATCCTGATAAGTTACTCACCCCTATATCATCCAAGATGTTCATGTCTTTCTTTCTTCAGTCGCAAAGAAATGAAGATTTTTGAGGAAAACATTCCAGGATTTTTCTTCATACAGTGGACTTTTATGGTGGTCAGCAGATTGAAGATTAAAAACGCAGTTTCAATTAAGCTTTTAGATTTTTAACCATTAATTGTATTTATTTATCAAGAAATTCGGTGCATTAAAAAAAGCTTCTAAGTATATTAGCGAATAATTGTGTTGGATAGAGCCATTTATCCTACTCATCGGAACACACTTGAGCAT